ACGCTCACATGATGGTCTTGCTGCATCTGGCCAGCTGTTCCCTCCAGTGCCCCTCTTTCACCATTCCTTCTCAGCTTCTCCTCCCAGCAAGCACTCCATCCACCTCTCTAACCTTTCTTCTAAAGTTCAGGGTGCCAGAATTTCCATTTGTGTCTGTTTAATTTGTCTCGCGTGTTTTTTTTTCGTAGAGGGTCTGTGCAGTGCATCTGTCTAGTCCACCATCTTGCTGGAAGTCCTTTTCTCCCCCTTTTTGATCTTTCTTTCCAACTCTCTGCTATTTCTTTTCATCTTCTCTCTCCCTGTTTCTTCTAAGTATTTTTTGTTTGTTTTTTTAAGTCCTCTTATTTTCTCGTCTACAACTCCATTTACTGTCCCTCTTTTCTCTCTTTAGCTATTCTATTCTTTTCTTTCTGGTTGCTGTCTGTTTTTATTTCTTTCTTTTCTTTATTATTTTCTCTTTTCACTGTTGGTTGCTTGTTTGTTTATTGTGTATGTGGGGGAGGAAGGGTTTTCTCCTCTTTCCCACCTGATAGGAGACAGCAACTGTGCCCATACAGTCCAACTACAACCGTACCCTCTGCAGCTCCACCCACTGGGCAAGAGCCAATACCAGCTCCTATACCACCTGATCAACAATAGACAGTAGCCAACACCAGCCAACCCACCCTAAATCGAGATGCACAAATGATGAATGAGAATGATATACACGCTTCCATTCTCTAACTACACCCACAGGAGAGTGTTGGTGAGAGCGTAAGAACATAGTAACATACAATCATCAATTAAATACAGAAATGACAATACCATAATGTCCGGGAGACAGCAGACAATTTTAACTCACGTGAAGAAATGTGAGAGAATGGCTCAAACAAATGACCAAGATTCAGAGCCAGAAAATGTTTTGAGGTAGAAAAGGTAATGGAACTAACTGAATGATATTTAGATACCTACAAAGGATAGGCAGAAAGACCGAGAAAAGCAAAAGCACAGAAAAAAACTTTAGAAGAATTCAGTAAAACACAACAAGAACAAACAAAAGAAATGTAAATTTAGAAACAATACAGAAGTCGCTATTAGAAATCCAGAAGATTAATCATATGATTTCAGAAATGGACAACACATTGAGAGGGCAAAATAGTAGATTCAAAGTAATGGAAGCCTGAATTAGTGAGATTGAAGATCAATCTCTCAGTACTAGCATGCTAGGAAAACAATAAGAAAACAGAATTAAAAAAAGAAAATCTCAGAGTCGTGTGGGACACCATGAAGAAGTATAACTTACGGTGATTGGAATTCAGGAGCAGAAAGAGACAGTAAAAAGCACAGAGAAAATTGTTGAAGAGTTGTTGGAAGAAAACTTCGCTAACATCATGAAAGATGAGAAGATAAGCTTATAAGAAACTGAATGAACCTCAAACAGGATAGCTCCCCAAAGAAAATCATCAGGGTATATCATAATCAAACTTTCCAAAACCAAAGACAAGGAAAGACTCCTGAGAGCAGCTTGGGAAAAATAAAAATTTACCTACAAAAGAGAACGAATAAGACTAAGGTCTGATTTCTCAGCATAAAAAGGCAGAAGATGACATATACAAAACTCTGAAAAACAAATTGCCAACCAAGAATCACATCTCCAGTAAAGCTGTCCCTCAAATATGATGGTGAAATTAGGACATTTCCAGGTAAACAGAAGTGAAAGGAATTTGTAGTAATCAGACCAACTTTTACAAAAAATACTAAAGGGTGTTCCTTGCACTGAGAACCAACAAAAGTAGACGACAATCTGAAGTTACCATGCATGGCAGCACCTCTCAGAACTCAATCCAAATATAGAAATATTTAAAGCAAAACAAAACGACAATACTGAAAATCGGGAACGAGAGATATGAACTTATAATGAAATCAGCTATAAAGCAAAAAGAGGAATAGTGTAGATACAGAACTTCCAAATGGTGAGGAAGTCAAGTACATTTCAAGGTAAAACAGGCTATTTTAAATACGGGGAAATTAATAAATTACAGGATAACCTCAAAGAAAATGAATGCACCTTCATATCAAAATAAAAATAAAAATGAGGAAAATCAGTAAGATCTAGTAAACATTAACACAACAGATATTAAGATGAAAAGAAAACCCACAAATAAAACGAATTTAGTGCAGAAAATGATGTAAGACAAAGAAACCAGCAGCTCCACAAAACAAACACAGCAAAACGACAGCTAACAATTCATACCTGTGGATAATTATACTGAATGTAAATGGATTCAATGCTCCAATCAAGAGACAGAACAGAATGGACAGAAAACAAGATCCTTCACAATGCTGTCTACAAGAGACACATCAGATAAGATGGAGACAGCCTAAAAGCCCATCAGCAGAAGAATGGTTAAACAGACTTTGGTATATATGCACAATGGAATACTATGCAACACTGAAGAAGAACAATGAATCTGTGAGACACCTCACCACATGGATGAACCTAGAGGACATTATGCCAAATAAAATTTGTCAATCACAAAAGCATAAATATTGTATAAGACCACTGTTGTGAAAAATTAGAAAAATTTTCTTGATAAAAGAAATGTTCTATGATGGTTACAGGGTAGGGGTAAAAGAAAATTATTCACAGAATAGAGGGTACACCCATTAACATGGGTGATGGGGCAGGCAATACACAACAAGAGAGAAGTTGGCAGAGGAAAGATGAAGGTAGCGGGAGACACAGGGAGGAATGCAAGAGTTAAAGTGAGTAGAGGTAAATACTGTTAGCTAATGGTACATGGTCATGGGTAATACACTGGACTGTAAGGTTGGTTTGAAATACAAGGTTGGCAGCTCAAACTCACCAGCCACTCCTTGAAAACCTTATGAATCGGAACCAACTTGACAGTACTTAACAAAAACAACCATGCTGCCCGGAGGGGATTATAATCATTGCAATGAATCAAAGTATATGATTCATTGAACACAAAACTGATGATCTGCCCTGTAAACCTCCACACAATTCCCAAGAGAATGTCTTAAATAAGTAAATAAATAAGGCGAGGCTTTGCCCGAGGAGCTTAGTTTACTGATTTGATTGTGACAAAAGTCCCAGCCAGGTAAAGCCTCCACCCACCACTGTCCCCCATGTGATCAGCTCTCCCCATTCCTGGGGAGCCAGCCCTTTCAGAGTTGGCCGAGCATGTGTACACCCCTTCACTGAACCCCCTTTTTTCTCTTTAGCACATCTAGACATACCCATCTGGCCCTGCCTTTACCCTTGGGCAACGTTTCAGTGCATTCAGCCAGGGCATTCTCAATATTTCTCACATCTACGAAGTACTCCATCAATGGAATTGCAACAGAACATATTTAATTAGTCCCTTCCTATGGACCCGTCTCTAATGGCTGGCAGTTTCAAACAGAGCTGCAAAGAATAACTGTGAGCGTGCCTTCTGCCATCTGTCTGGACGTGTTACTTAGTCTCCTATACTCCAGACACTCTCTCAGCCCTTGATGAGGGAAGGGAATCTCTGATTGTACGCAGTGAAGTCACTTGGCCAACATTGTGTGTTTAATAAGTAGGGATGGAAGGTTTGAACCCAAGTGCCCTCCTCCATGACACTCTGTGGGGGATTGGGACCCCTGTTTTTCCCCAAATGCTGAAGAAGGTCCTGGGACAGTTTGACCTGCAGCCCCTAACAACACACAGGACATGTCCCCGAACTGCTCCAGCCCCCGGTGCCTACACGGTGGGGTACCTGCATGCCATTGTCTCTCTTTTTTCTCCTCACCCAGATCCCCTTACAGTGGGATGGCTGTGGGCCATCGCCAAACGCTCCAGCCCTCTTCAGCCATCGCTCAGCACCACAGTATTACACAAACAGGGGTCTGTGTCCTACTGATACAGGCCTTCCTGTCTGGGGGGCTCAGGAAGGGGTGAGCCAGGAAGAAAGTGTGACAGCCACACCTTCCAGATACGAGGAGCCCTGGTGGTGCAGGGGCTAAAGAACTGACTGCTAGTCAATGGTTGTCGGTTCGAATCCACCAGCAGCACTGTGGATTGAGATGTGACCGTCTGAGTCTGTCACTATTTGCTGTCTCAGAAATGCTCTGGGGCACTTCCATAGGGTCCTACACGGCCACTAAGAGTGGGAATCAACTGGACTCGATGGTACTGTGTTTGGATTTCTGGGTTGAATTTGCCAGCTCAGTGCAGTGCTTACGTGCCTGGGAAGCGCTGGGTTGGGTTCTCTCTCCATTCCAGGGCTTCTGAGAAGTCCAGTCCCATCCCTGTCTGCCCAGCTCAGCCAGGGCACCACGGCCACCTCCCATGGACTCTGACAACATGGCACTCACTGATCTGCTGGCCTCCTTCTGTCCGGAGCCCCTTCAGAGCTGTTCACCCCCCAGATGCCCAGCCCAGCACTGAAGAGGGGCCTCAGATGTCTCCCATGTGACAGACAGGCATGGAGACCAGTCTTGGGACACCTCACACCCCTGGCTGTCAGAGGACAGTTGAAGCTCAGCTGGGGGCTCGGCCTGGGCCCCTGGGTGGGGTGCTGCTGAAAAAGCCCAGAAGCATGTGTTGCTCGAAGCAGGAGCCCCATCCTACAGAGCCACCTTTCATACCTGAGCTGCCTCCTCCATTGGGTTTACATCTGCCTGGCCCACAGCATGACTGTTACAGCCTGTTTGTCTAGGCTCCGGGGCATGTCCGGGAGCCTCCCCCAGGCCCGGATATTCCCTGAGGTGGGCCCCCACGCCCAGCACCTTCCTGTGTTGTGGTGGCCCTCATTCCTTCCTTCTGGACGAGGCCAGCAGGGCCCAAGAGGGTGTATATAAAGGCCAGGTGAAAAGCACCCAGGAACATCAAGGACTCCCTGGCCAGGTAAGAGGCACCTGCTCCCATGGAGTGGCCGGTCAGAGTCTGGGAGTCAGGGGGTCTTAGATCATCAGTAGCCCATCCCCATCTCTCTCCTTCTTGCCAGGTATCTTGGGACCTGCCGCCTTGAACCATGCTACTGTGGCTGACCATAGCTATCCTGGGGATCCCCTCCAGCTGGGCAGACCGTAAGTGGGCCCCTGGGCACCGCCCCACTGGGCATACCCCGACCCCAGCCCTGGTATCAGATTAACCACAACCACAGGGCTGCCCGTTGGTGGGGAGGGGCTGTGTCTGCCGGTTTGGGCAGATGCTGAGGTCTGACTTGTGTGGTCTTTGCCCATCCATCCAGCCATCTATGGTAAGGGACGAGGCAAATACTTCTCTACTGTGAACAACGGAAATGACATAACCGCAATCCGGGTCTGCCTAGATGTTTTTGGGGTGATGAAAAGGTAAGTCACTCTGCCCTCACTGTCCCACCGTCTCGGGACAGCCTCTCACTCCAGCTTCTGAGTCTGGCTCCAGCAGCAGTTTGAGGTCAGTGGAGTCTCTGGGTTCCTGGAGCCGCCCACCATCCCCTTTCACTTGGTCCCTTTGCCCCAGATGAGAGCCCCCACGCTCAGCAGCCCCAGGTCTTTCTACCGTGTGCAGGTCCTGCAGTTGTCTCATGTGTTGATCTAAAGATTTCAAGTCAAAATCACCCACTGCCTTTGAGTAGACTGTGACACACAGCCACCCATAGGACAGAGCAGAGTGGTCCCACGGGGAAGCCGACAGGTCTCTCTCAGAGCAGCTGGTGGGTTCGAACTACTGACCTTTCAGTTAGCAGCCGAGTGCTTAACCACGGTGCCATCAGGGCTCTCTTAAAGAGAGTTTGCTGGTGGCTTCACCCTACTTTCTTCTTTTGATCCAAATTCAACTCAACCAAAGAAACAATCTCTCAGTCCCAAAATACATCAGGTGACAGTCCAATCAGGTTAGGGTCAGGTAGGATGTGAGGGTCAGAGTGAACCAGTGATTGAACTCAAATCACCAGAAATGTGTAGACGGCAGTTCTGCAAGAGTTGGGGTGATGGCTCTTGGCTCTTGGCTGAAGGTGGAGTTTTGCTCTGCAGTCACATAGAGCCCAGGGACCCAAGGGGGTGAGAGATGACATCCCAAGCCCAAAGAAGATAGGGAGTAGGGTGGGTTCAGCTGATGAAGGAGCAGCAAGGTGATGGGGTGGGGGGGTGGGGGGTGTCAGGGCATCTGTGCTAGAGAAGCCAGGGAGGTCCAAAACTCAGGGTCTCCGTGTCCCAGGTTTTCCTTCTCCTCTCCCACAGTATCGACCTGAGATTTGGGTTATACTGGACTGGAAAATATGGCTCCAGATTTGGCAAGTGTGAGGAGGCCAATCTGCATCCGGGCGAGCACATCACTCAGATCCACGGCACGTACAACCATTTCCTGCGATCCCTGGTACTACACACAGATAAAAAGCGTCAGATCACCTTTGGGAAGAACACTGGCTATACTTTCTTTGCCTTCCCCCAAACTAAAGGGCAAGTGCTCACGGGCGTATTTGGGAACTACAAGTTAATGGGCCTTACCAGTCTTGGCTTCATGTGGGAATTTCCTCTTGTGAAGACAACAGCCGCTCCAAAAACTACCACCAAGGAGTCAGTTGCTCCAGAAGCTGTCCCCAAGGCCACAACAACTGCAGGAACCACCACCGAGGCAGCAACAGCTGCGGGAACCCCCACCAAGGCCACAACAGCTGCGGGAACCACCACCGAGGCAGCAACAGCTGCGGGAAC